ATCAGAAGGAAATTGAGGCCACACCTGGCAAACATCGGACATTGGACTGGAACATACTACAATTCCAAGGCCTTATTTTTGCCATTGTAATACATATTTCTTAATTCCATTCCATACTTTTAACATAATTATTTTGAAATAACACATAGTTCATATTAGTCATGTAACAACTAGATATTTTACTTTGTTCTCAATTAATTCTTTTTGAACTTCCATCGTTATATTTTTGTTAACATCTTCATTTTCTCTTTATTTTATTCCAACCAGCACATCAAAATTATTTATTTCTATTCCTTCCATAGGATTTTCCAAAATTAAACCAGGCTATCAGAAAATGTCCTTAATTTGTGTACTTCTTTTTTTCACATCAGCTGTTTTCTCATCATGTCCTATGTCTATGTTCAAAACTCCAAGGGCCACAATGGATAACAGTGGTGAAAGCAGGCATCCTTGTCTTGTTCCTTTTTTTCTTTCATGAGGTTTAGTCAATTCCCTGTTAATTATAATTTGTGCCCTTTTAAGTACTTACTGATTTCATCAATATAGTAATTTCCCCAAATCCATATGGTCAAAGAAGTCAATTTAGTCATCTCATCAAGTTCACCAGTCTTTCCATCTTCCTATTAGTTTGTTTAGTTTTTTATTTTTCTTTAAAATAAATAGAATCCAGAAGCGTCGTGGCAAGACTGGTTGGGAAAACACCAGGCCCTAATGAGCCTGGCGAAAACTCAGCCAGACGAACCGCTGTCGGGGGGGTCTTTGGACCGGAATTGTCCTGTAGGGACAGTGAAGAAGGAGAGGCATCTCGGTTGGCTAAAGAGGAACAGGCAAGTTCCTCGAAAAGCCAGAGAAAACTCTTAGATCTGACGGCAGGGGGGGGCAGAGGACATTGCGAACCGCCATGAAGCTGGGGCATCCAGAATAAGAATTGTGCAGGAGCGAAGATTTGAGTGGAGTTTTGGTACTGGGTGAGTGACTGGCCAATTCACAGGTAATAAAGGAAAAAATTGGAAAATTTTAAAGTTACCCTGTGTGAAAACAGCAGCTAAATAACGTTGGGGGGATATAATTGATAGAGAAGAGAGAAAGCAGAAGTGAAAGCACTAAGCCCAAAACGGAATTGGATACTTAAATGTGGATATAGAATTTGGAGAGACTAAATTGACTATAAGAAAAGAAACCCAAAAGAAAATACCTTTGGAACAGTATAGGATATAAACTGTTTAGAAAATTTTGAACTTTAAAAGAAGATTAAAAAATGAAGAAAAGCCTACAATAGAAAAGCCTGTCTAAAGATTTCAAATTGAATTTGAACTGGAATGTAAAGTTGGAATTCGGACTTTGTAAATTTGGATTGGACTATAAACTGATTTGGTGCATATAAAGGTAAAAAAGAAGAAGGAGAAAAATTTAAACCAGTAAAGATTGCTAAAGCTGATTGCAAACAAAATGGATACTTTTTAAATTAGTGATTGGAATTGTGGATTATAGAGAGACATCTTCAGGAGAAACAAGATCATTACAACACTAAATTTTTGGTCTGGAAAAAACTGAACTTTGAAAGGAATAACAACAGTGAGGGAACCTTGAACATTGAAAGCGATAACAGCTGAACTAAGGAGGATTTGTTTGTCTGCAAGCGGCTTGACTTTAATGATTAAAAAAGGAGGATTACAACACAACTTTAAATTGGAATAATATTAACTCAGAAAGAACAAAATGGTGCAGGAACTTAAGGAAATGATGAGAATGATGTACTTATCACTGAAAATGGAAATAAGGGAAATTACTATGATGTTGCATGGAAAACAGAAATCTGATGAAAAGAGCGGAGAATAGAAAGAATATAAAAACATTAAATGATTACACTGGGATTAACAGTGGAAATACAAGAAAGAAGGAAAAGGGATGGAAAACAATGGGAAATATAGGGCAAAATAGAACAGCTTATGATTTTAAAATACAAAAAGATTATATTGGGATTAACAATGGAAAGATAAGAAAAAGGGAAAAGAGATGGGAAATAATGGGAAATATAGGACAAAATAGGAGAACAGAATTTTAAAGCACAAAAGAAAAGGGGAAAGAAAAATAAAAATAGAAAGGGAGAAAGGGAGAAAGAAATGAAAGAGGAATATGTTGTATACATTTTGAATTGAAATATGAATCGAAGTAAAATTTATAGATGAACTGAATGTTAGAAAAAAGATGAAATTGTGATACTAATTAAGTAATTTAAAATAATGGAAAATTATGGATGTACGAATGAAATGAAATAAGATTTAGAAATATGTTTTATTTAAAATTAGAGAAATTGTAATGATTGGAATATTTTTTATTGTATTGTTGGAGCTTATAAATATTTTTAATTGCATATTTGAATTAATTAGACTGGTGAAAAGAGATGATTAAGATGTGGTTTGAAGAGTAAATATATACTTTTGACAAAGTATTTGAAAATTAGAGATAAGATTTAAGGAAGCAGTACTAAATAAGTAACTGATTTTTATTAAGATGTTGAAGTGTATTATTTGGAATAAGATCTAAGGAATGTATGTTATAAAATGTTTTGATTTATCATTTTGATATGAAATAAATGATTGTAATATTAGGAACTATGTTAAAGGAGATTTCAAATTTAAGTGGTTTAATATTGAGAGGAAGGGAAAAATGAGATTTGGTTAAGATTAGAGATAGGATGAATTGCTAATATTGATTTTAGAAAAAGAAAAAGAAAAGGGAAAAAAAGAAAAATAGAGAGAATAAATACTATGGCAAAAAGGGAATATATAAATTGTGTTGAAATGACTAAAAATTGTTTAAATTTGTGAACTGGCCAATACTCTGTTCAGAAAAAATATATTGTATGTGTGTCTGTGTGTTTCAAAAAATAAAAAAACCTTTTATAAATAATAATAATAATAATAATAATAATAATAATAATAATAATAATAAACAAATCTGCAGATAATAGTAAATTGGGTGCAATGTGTAATACCCTAAAAGACAGAAATGCAATTCAAGGACTACTGACTGGTTAAAAAAGTAGAATGAATAATATATATAAGCAATGTGGTCTGACTCAAGACAAGTGCAAGTTGAGGCACTTTGAAGTATAGTACCCAAATTATAGGAAGGCTAGTTCTTTTTTATTATGCTCTCATCTTTCAAACCTTAATGCTTTTTAACTTACCAATGAACTGGGGGAAGGGAAGGGGGAATTAGAATGCTGAGAATGTGTGCATGGATCAGGGGTGAAATGCTCCCGGTTCAGACTGGCTCAGGCGAGTAGGTAGCAATGGCAGCGGGCAGTTCGGAGAACCGGTAGCAAAAATCCCTGCCCTCGCCCCCCATGCCCAGATGAGCCGCACGATCATCAGAGCCTTTTTTTTCTTTTAAATGGCTCTGACGATCCAAGCTCTGACGATCCCAGCTGAGTTGCCTGCTAATCAGTAGCAAAAATCCCCCCTCCCCCCCTCAGCTTGCTTACCTTAGCTGTTGGTCGCAACGCCTTGGTGTAATCCCTGCAATCCATTGCATCAGCAAGCAACTGAATCTCCCTGCCTGCAATCAAGCAGGCAGGGAGTTGTGGACTTCAATTCCCAGAATTCCTCAGCCAGCAAAGCAAAGCTGGCTGAGGAATTCTGGGAGTTGAAGTCTACAAGTCTTAAAGTTGCCAAGGTTGGAGACCCCTGTTCTATTGGGTAAGTTTTTTTCCCCTTTGGGAGCTTTAAAAAATAGTTAATTGGGGTTTTTTTTAGTTGTTCTTTTTTTAGACCTAGCATTTAAAGTTTAGGAAGTTTTAAATTTAGCTGCTTTTATATAAAAATAAAAATAAATAAAAATAAAATAATATTTGTGCAGCTTTCTGAGATTTAGTGTGTTTCTGTAGTGTTTCACTCTAACTACACAAACACACAAAATCTCACAAAGCTGTATGTGAAATTTTGTGTATAAAGTGTAAAAGTTGTTTTTTTGGGCTTTTTGTGGCTGTGTGAGGTTCTTGCTTGTTGCAGGGGCCATTTTGGGTCTAGCATAGCTGCTTTTATATTGTGGGTGAGCCAGTTGTGTTTGTTGTGTGTGTGTAAAGTGTGAAAGTTGTTTTTTTGGGGGGGCTTTTTGTGACTGTGTGAGGTTCCTGCTTGTTGCAGGGGCCATTTTGGGTCTAGCACAGCTGCTTTTATATTGTGGGTGAGCCAGTTGTGTTGTGTTGTGTTTTGTAGGTTAAAAAAGGGCAAAGAAGTGACATTGACTTGGCCACGCTCACCTGACCAACAAGCCATGCCCACCCAGTCACCTTATTAACAAGCCCCACCCACTAATTAAGCCCCGCCCACAGAACCGGTAGCAAAAAAAAATTAGATTTCATCCCTGGCGTGGATCATGAGAGCCTGGCAACCATCAAGGTCACCATAGCAAGAGATGGACTGTTCCCATAACAAAAGGACATCTCATAATTGGACAATGTGATCACCCAGGGGTGGGGAGAAGAAGAAACTATTGTTTAACTAGGCAAGCATTTGTGCGGAAAAACCAGAGCTGGTTTTGATTCTTCAGTACCAAAATGGTGTATCCAATAATGTTTTACTTTGGGGAATTTAAAGCTCCCAGGACTGTTTCCTTATTTTGGGTTCACTAGTCGGACAGTTGACATGCATTGTAAGGGCTCCATGTTGACTACTGTCGCCTGTTCTGCATAACACAATTAAAGGACTAGAGAAACTAGAATAAAGAAGGGCATTGGGTTTCATAAGATTAGAAACAGAATCCTGTGAAGGAATTAAAGGAATTGTATATATTTGGCCTTAGTAAAACATCTATGTTAGCTTAAGTATCTCAAGGGATCTTCTACATAGATAGTAAATAGCTATGCTCCATTCTCCCAGAATGGCAAGAGTAGTCTATTGTTAACAGTTTGGCAAACATACTTACTTTTGGCTCTTTATCGGTATGGTAGAAATAATTTGAGCACTTTAAAATTTCTGTTTTTATCCAACTAGGGTATCTTTAACCAGTTCCAGTGCAGCAATGACAAAGTGTTACCTTCTGATGCTCTTCGTAGTGCTCTTGCAAAGACCTTTCAAGATGAGCAGCGTTTCCAGCTGGGCATTATGGATGATGCTGCAGAATGCTTTGTGAGTATAAAAGTGGTAGAAAGTTGATGAATCCTAAAAAACAATTTGAGGAAGCAACAAATACTGAAGCTCCTCCCCCCAAAAACCAAACTTGGTTTTTTTTACTAATCATATTGATGTATTTTCCTTGTTCTCCTTCTTTGTTTTCTTTTTTCTTGGTTATTTTATTGTTCCATTTTACTTTCATTTTGTTTAATCTTCCTTTTTATTTCTTCGGAATTTTTTTGGTTGTGAACTGCCTAGAGTAGCCCTTGGCGAGATAGGTGGCAAGCAACAAATAACAACACCCCCCACACACACACACACAGTGAGGCACTACCTTGATATGATTGTGGGGCTTGTGTGTTCTGAGGAAAACGAGAGCTATGGCAGAGGTTCAGCCATACTGGATGGTCTTATCAAAGGAGTCAGACAAAGAGTGTCTCTCCCATAAAAAATATGGTGAGACGTAAATTACAGAAATCCATAACCAGCTTGGTTGCCCAGGTTAACAAGGATCACACTAGATGTTGGAGTTCCTGGACCTCCAATTGGCCTTAGGACTCAGGATTGTTGGTGAGCAACCAGGGCCAACAGCTGCAAAACTATTGGAAGAAAAGATGTTTACCCATCGCAAATATACAGTGATTGAAAACGAAGAAATAATGATCTGTTATTACAGATCAAGTCCTACAAGAAGAGGATATTTCAAACAAATGCACCAGTTCTGGAAAGAACAACATCCAGAATCAGAAAGAACAAAATGGAGGCTAGCAGATCAACATTGATTTATAATACAAAACTCCTAGTTTTTAAATGAATTTTAGAAAGTTTCGAAGCAAATTTCATACAACTCTAAATGATAAATTTAAATTATTTAATATTAACTCTAATTTCCTTTTTCCTGTTTTCCTGGATGTAGGAGAACCTCTTAATGAGGATTCATTTCCACATTGCAGATGAATCTAAAGAAGATATCTGCACTGCCCCACATTGTATTTCACATCAGAAATTTGCAATGACCTTGTTTGAACAGGTACAGAAAAACAACAATTCTAAGTTATATTAATCCTGAAATGAAGAAATAGACTTGGAAATGAGCAAAAGAATATTTTCTTCTGTTAATATCTAATCATTTATTTATCTGATTTAGTGTGTCTGTACCAGTTGTGGTGCTACTTCTGATCCATTGCCCTTCATCCAGATGGTGCATTATATCTCAACTACTTCACTCTGGTGAGTCTCAAGCTTTTTGCAAAAAAAGAAATTCCTTGGTTTAATTTCCCCCCTTTTTTCTACTTGAATGAGATAGATAGTACATTGATATTTTGGTATGTATTATCAGCCTTCCTAGGTAAACCAGACAGGACACACAAACAGATTAGCTAATTCTCCTTTATTGTAAGGCTACATTAACATAATCTTGCAAGTCTGAAAGTACAACTCTCCTGTGGTTTCATTTACAACCTGAGAATTTATGAGTATGTTGTTTCCCTGGAGCAAAAATCAAAGATTTTACTGAGAACCCTACACAATAACTCCACAGATTACTACTCTTTTCTTCTCCTACACATGGGGACCAATGACACAATAATGAATCTAAAAACAATAATAAGAGATTATGAACAGCTAGGGAAGAAGGTTAAAGAATTAGGAGCATAAATGGAGGTTTCATCTATAATTCCAACAAAAGGCCAATATCCAATGAGAGAGAGCAAAGTATTTTAGAAATGAACCACTGGCTTAAAAACTGGTGTCGTCAAGAGAATTTTGGTTTTGTAGTCCATGGTCTGCCTTACCTACATGAAGGGCTACTGGCAAGGGATGGAGTGAACCTGACAAGAATTGGAAAGAATATATTTGGAAAACAACTGGGTCATCTTATCAGAAGGGCTTTAAAATAAAATGGAGGGGGGGAGGGAGGGAGGCCATCTTCAAAACCTTTAGAACCTAATTCCAAGCAAAAACAACTAGATAACCAATCATATAAGGAGGCAGAGAGTAAATAGAACAAGAAAGAAAGGAAAAACACAATGAAGTAGAGAATGATGGAAAGGATGGAAAACCCATTTACAAAGTAGGAGATATAACAATTATACCCCCAAATATAAGGAATACAGGTAGTCCTCGACGTACAACCTAAATTGAGCCCAAAATGTGTTGTTAAGTGAGACATCTGTTAAGTGGGTTTTGCCCCATTTTATGACCTTTCTTGCCACAGTTGTTAAGTGAATCACTGAAATTCTTAAATTAGGAACACAGTTGTTAAGTGAATCCGGCTTTCCCATTGACTTTGCTTCTCAGAAGTTTGCAAAAGGGGATCATGTGATCCCGGGACTCTGCAATGGTCATAAGTATGAACCAGTCACCAGACATCTGAATTTTGATCATGTGACCATGGGGATCCTGCAAAGGTTGTAACTCTGAAAAACTGACATGTCACTTTTTTCAGTTCACTTGTAACTTTGAATGGTCACTAAATGAACTATTGTAAATCAAGGGCTATCTGTGAATCCAAGACCCACAAAGGGCTTAAATGCCTATATACAAATGCTCAAAAGTTAGGGAACAAACAGGGTGAACTTGAAGTACTAGTACATGATGGTAAATATTATTATTTTATTTTATTTTTTTATTTTATTTTATTTTATTTTATTTTATTTATTTTATTTTATTTTATTTTATTTTATTTTATTTTATTTTATTTTATTTATTTTATTTTATTTTTATTTTATTTTATTTATTTTATTTTATTTTATTTTATTTATTTTATTTTATTTTATTTTTGAATTTGTATACCGCCCTTCTCCCTAAGGACTCATGGCGGTGTACAGCCACATAAAAACATAGAGTACAAATATTAAAATACCATTAAAAGATATATATAAATTTGGCCCCATAATTAAAAACAGTAACAAACCAATTAAAACATTTAAAAAGTGTTAGGCCAGCCCGGCTTGCTGGAAAAAGAAAGTTTTAAGGGCACGGCGGAAGGCACCGAGGTCTTGGATTCTCCTTATCTCTGGGGGCAGCTGATTCCAGAGGGTAAGTGCTCCCACAGAGAAGGCCCTCCCCCTGGGGGTCACCAGCCTGCATTGTTTGGCTGATGGCACCCCGAGGAGGCCCTCTCTATGGGAGCGCACAGGTCGATGGGAGGCCGTCGGTGGCAGCAGGCGGTCTCGAAGATAACTAGGTCTTATGCCATGGAGCGCTTTAAAGGTGATAACTAACACCTTGAAGCGCACCCAGAAGACCACTGAGCCAGTGCAGCTCACGCAGGAGAGGTGTTATATGTGAGCGCCAGGTAGCTCCCGTGACTACCCGCGCGGCCGCATTCTGGACCAGTTGGAGCCTCCAGGTGCCCTTCAAGGGGAGCCCCATGTAGAGAGCATTGCAGTAGTCCAGGCGAGAGGTGACGAGGGCATGAGTGACTGTGCACAGGGCATCCCGATCAAGAAAGGGCCGCAACTGGACTTCCGGGTTGCTGTTTGCCGCTGCCAGACGTTCCTTTGGGATCGTCAGCTTCCATCGCCTGTTAGAGCCGCCTTCACAACGGAATGGCGGCTCGAAAAAACTCCGTTTCCATGAGGAAACGGAGATAGAGCCGGCAGGGGTGGGTAGAACTCTCTGCGGAGTCCCAAAAGTTTTTTTTTTACTTTTGGGACGGAGCGGATGAGATGCCCCGTATCCCCAGCCGCCGCTCCGGGCTTTGGGAGACCTCTGCTGATGCAGAGCCAGGCGTCAAAAGCAAGCCTGCAAATTTAACAGACTACTCAAAGAAAATGTGAGCTGGACCTGTAATATTGAACTGCAAGTATTTTACTGATTTTTTTTAAAAAAAAAAATTACTTAAGAGAGAGGAGGAAAAGAAAGAGGAAAAAAAAAAGAAGCCTTTTAAAATGGCGTTGGCTGGAGGAGAGGCTGAAAGGGAAGTCTTTCCGTTTTCTATTACTACAATGTAGCGGAATAAATACCACTGGCTACATTTGTAGACAAAACTTTGCACCTGTGTCTTTTTCTCTTTTTTTTTCCCTTGGAGACCTGATATTGTTGTTGATTGGAAAGAAGTCCCCCTTTTTTTTTTCTTTCTTGCTTTTTTTTTAACAAAGCCTGCCTGGGCGGAAACATGGCACTGAGACTCATAAAGTTAGATAAACAAGAAGGGGGGGGATCCCCCCACCAACAACTTAAAGGAACAAGTCTTAATTCTTCAGTCTCAGAAACCTGACTTTAATATAATAGAATTTTTTATAGAGGAGATTGAAAGAAGGGAGGAGATTGTGAATCAGCAATTTGAAAAATTTAAGCAGGAAATTAAAGAATTGGTGAAATCTAAGTTTGATTTTTTGGAGAAAAAACTCTCAAAAGTGGTTAATGGTTTTACAGGATTTATGAAACAGTTGGACACAAATACTATTGTACTAGAGTCTAAAATGGAAGAAATTCAAGATAAATTGGACAATAGAATTCAAAAAATTGAAAATGATTTGACAAACACTCAGGATAATAGCTTAGAAGAAAAACCTAAAATGGATGCTGATCAAAAGTATGGTAAGGCAGAAAATCTGCAACAGAAGATTGAAAAAGAGATGTTAATGGTACAATATAATTTTACAGAATATGCGATAAGATTAAGAGGTTTGCAGGAAAATAATAGAGATGATTTAAGGAAAATATCTTCTGAATTTCTAGCTGGGATTCTAAAGGTTCAACCTGACGAAGTGTTTTGTAGGATTGACAGAGTTTATCGAATCAACTCCTGGATTGCTAAGCAAAGGCAATGGCCTAGAGATGTGGTGATTTATTTTACAGATAAGGAGATTAGGAATAATATCGTTCAAAACTCCTTCAATTCTAATTTGCAATTGTATGGAAGAAAGATTTGGATTTACAAGGAACTCCCACCTAAGATATTGATGGAAAGGAAGAAATTTGGTTTTCTGGTGAATGAGTTAAAAAAGAGAAATATCTCCTACAGGTGGGACGCCCCAGTGGGTATTATATTTAGATACCAAGGAGAAAGATATCAGCTAAATACTGTTGAAAGAGCGGAAGAATTTTATCAAAATAGGTTGAAAATGAACTTAACATCTCCAGGTATAATACAGGATAAGCAGAAGGAGCCGGAAATAAAGGTAAAATATCGAATTACAGAGACTGTACCAGATGAATTGCCTTTGGATTTATTGGATACCCCAGCTGGACTATCTACAAATTTGAGAGAAGAGGCATCTAATCTTAATGTGATGACTTATCAAGGCAAGGATAAATATGGAAACCAATTAGGGGATATACAAGGGATAAAAAAGAAATATGAGATACAAAAGCAAAACCAACAAGACCAATCTACAAAGCAGAATAAAAACCGACCAGATGATACACACTTTATAGAAAGGGAACCAGGATGGAAACCAAACCCACAAAAAGAAAAGAAAAAAAGAAATAGGTGGCATAAAAACAGAAATTTCTAATCAGGCAACAGTGAAGCCAGTGATTTTAAAATATGAACGATTATGTGTAAACACAGAAGAGGCGACGTATTGGTTAATATCATCCTGAGGTTTGTGGCAGATCTCTGCATGGCCGTAATCTGGGGACGTGAAACGAGCCTTAAACTGATGGATTTGAATTATCCATTTTGGAATTTCTTTTTGTGTTGATAAACATATTATATTATCTTGAATCACAAGGCAAGAGAATTATGCTGGGGTATGCAGAAGATCGGGTTGTTACCCACTACGATGATGGGAATTAATAATCCTGATGAAACCCACAATTATTACTATATGGAATATAATTATAATGTCACTCGGGTGGTTGTTTTTACTTTTATACATATAAGAAGATATTTACTACTGATGGGGGCAGATATGACTGAAGATCCTGAATAAACTGTTGCACCAGTAAGCTATGTTACCCGATTATGGATGTTGGTTCTACCAATCCAGTGGAAAGACCTCAAAGAAGATACTATATGGATTATAAATTTAAAGTCATTGTCTTTTCTTTTTTTTTATTTAGATATAATGGAAAATATAGACATATATTTTTAAGAAGTGTGGGCAGTGAATCAAAGATGTTAAGAAATGTTGTCTATGGCAATTTTGTATGATAGTGGGTGAATAAGCTATTTAGTAGATTGATTAGTCTAAGAAAAGGGATTTTTAAGTGTTATATTTAGGGGAGTGGAGGAAATGGATAGAGTGGAATAAATCTTAAACTAGATTTTATGGGGA